AATCTTTCATTGGGGGGGGGGGGGGGGATATAATTTATATAAAAATTGGTGAACGGGGGCCATAGTCAAAATTTTATATTTTTGACCTAATATGTATAAAACTAAAATATAGGGACTATTTCTGCCAAAAAAATTAAGGGGGGGGGGGGGGCAAATGTCCTATGTTGAGGTGACATAATTCTGACACTAAGTTTTCAATATCTTTCAATTTGATACTCCATTAATAACATGTGCAATTTACCCTTTAATAAAAGGTTTAAACCATAAATATTACCAAATACAACAAAAGATTATATTTAGTTGTATGTATAGATATATAGAGAGTTCTGTAGAAAAATTATACATGGTTCAAGCTCAAATCTTTCTAGTTTAAGCTCAAATCTACATTTTTCTTCTGTTATGATTCTTAACACTTCTATCCGTGTATGATATTCTCCATTTTCTTCATCACCCGTCGCTTGTCTTCAACATCCCTTTCTTCACAACTAACTTGACTTAGAGTATTTCCAAGTGTTTGATTTTATTTTTTAGACCATTACTTTCTATTTTGTAATACAAAAAGGTCAATAGTCACATTTACCAAGTTTATTGTTTGATTATTAGTCATCTTTGAAAATAGATAGTTATTCTCTTGCCTCATCATCCTTGTAACATCCCGATTCCCAGGTATGAGAAACTCTTTAATTCAAAAGGAAATTTTGGCCTCAACTCGACGTGTTGAAAGTCTTTGGGCCGCAAATCTTTTTGGACCAACTCGACGAGTTGGAGAGGAAAACTCGATGAGTTGGTGGCTGATTAAGAAACCCTAAATTTTAGGGTGTTGCACCCTATTTAAAGGCCTTATACCCTTTGGGTGACCTCCTTACCCGTCTCCCCTATCCAGAAACCCTAATCTCGTGCTTTCTTTTCCATATTTGTGTGTGTGAGCTTGAAGAGTGTTATCTTGGTGTCCTTTTGAAGAAGCTTGAAGGTTGAAGTGGTTTGTGAAGAAAAGAGGCTATAGATCCAGAATCTTCTCTCTTGTTGCAGTCTTTTGGAGGTATAAAGTCGACCCGTTGCTTACCTATAATTTAGATCTCATTCTTTTAAAGTTTAGTCATATTGGCTCATTTTGGGTTTGTCCTTGGTTTAAGAATGTCATGAAGTTATAACTTTAGATCTGGACGTTTTGTGGCCTCCTTGGGCTTAAAGTTTCAAGCTTTCTAGATCTAGGCTCCCTTCATGCTTTAGGTACCTTATTAAGCCTTCCTTGAGTCTTGGAGCCTCTTTGTGGCATGCATGGACGTAAAGTTAGCAACTTTACGTGGTATTTCATCTCTTGGGAATCGGATTTATAGTTTGAGGCATCATATTCGATAAGAAGGGGCTGAATATATTAGGATTGGGAAAACTCGACGAGTTGTCATGACAACTCAGAGAGTTGGCTTAGGTTTTCCTGTTTCTCTGGATATTATAGGAACTTGACGATTTGTTTTGACAACTCGACGAGTTGGATTAGGTTTTTCCCACTTCTCTAAGTACTGTAGTAACTCGATGAGTTAGTATGAGCACTCAACGAGTTGGGTCAACATGGACTATTGACCTTGACTGTTGATTTTGACTTTAACAATGGTTGACCATGATTGACTTTGAAGGAAATTTAGGTATTTCAAAGTTTTGATAGAAATGGTCATGTGGTGGTTGTAGGCTTTTGAGTCCAGAGCTGAGTTTGTGCTGTAGGATTTTACCGGTTCAACGCTACTTGTGAGGTGAGTTTTCCTCACTGTACTTATGGGTCGAAGGTACCAATGTCAGCCTATTTAGATTGTTATCTTGGTTATCTTAGGATGTTGCTATGTTGCTATGATCTATTAGATCGGTATCCTGGTATATAGGATGATGCTATGCTTATTGAGCTGTATGATATGTGCTTGCCTGTTGATTCATTAGGTGTTTATGAGTTATGTATATGTCAATGTATGTGTGTGGTTAAGTTGAGGCGGTCCTGCTTTGTGCTAAAGGACAATAGACCAAGGGTGGCCCGAATATACTGAAGTCCTGTGAGGCGTTCCAATTAGTTCGAAGGCCCGACGAACAGTTTGGATAGGCTGTAGGCCTTACGAGGCGGTCCAGTTATGTCGAAGGCTCAGAAGTGGTCCAGATAGGATGAGGACCCTACGAGGCAGTCCAGTCGGGATGAAGGCTCATTTATGCATGATGTTATCTATTATGTTATGTGGTGGTATTTTGGGAAAGACTCACTAAGCTCTAGGCTTACAGTTTTTGGTTATATTTTAGGTACCTCAGATGATCGCGGAAATGTGAAGGCTTGATCGTGCACTTCTTCATGTTTTGTGTTATGATTTTTGGGAAAAACTCTTATGTGAAACCTATTTTGAAAACAATGGGTAATAAATGATGGTTTTTGGATTTATGTACAAGTTTTAAAATTTTCAAAATCTTATGGATGTTACAAGTTGGTATCAGAGCCTTGGCTTGAGTGAATTGGAGGAACACTCATGTGAATCCAGTCTCAAAATAAGGAAAAGATTTTGTAACACCTATAAAATCATGCCAAAATTAAAACCTCTTAAAAACATTTAAAATGCCAATAGTTATTACAAAAAGATTTCCAAAACAGTTCCATATCAGAGTTTCCAGAATTATAATCATAAATTGAGGAAAGTGTAAAGTCACGCATTCGCCTTCCCGCGGTCATCCGCCAAAATTGAAACAATAATCGATAAATGTAAGCTCGAAGGCTTAGTGAGTTACCCCCAAGATACCTCATATAACCATAAACATATCATATAACAAGCACATAACAACCATGCATCTCGAGTCTGCAGTGTGGTTGGTCCGCCCGCACTAGGCCTTCAGTACACCTGGTACATTCCCAGGGTCTACAGTATGACTGGACCGCCCGCACCGAACCTTCAGTCTGTCTGGTCCACTCTCCGAGCCTCGGCACGTCTGGACCGCCCTCTCGGGCCATCAGCCTATCCGGACCGCGAGTCGGTATTTTGTTTCTCGATCCTTCAGTAGGGAGTTTGTTTTGCCCATGAAGGAGTTGGAGTATCCGTTGCGAGTTTCTATCGCCAACGAAACGGGGTTTCTGCTTCTTCGGTTTATCAGGGTTGTGTTCTAGAGATCTTCGGGGTGTCCTTTTCGATTGATTTGATTCTAATTCCTATAGAGGATGCCTGTGAGATCATGTGTATGGACCAGTTGAGCTGTTTTGGTGCCATGATCAGCTGCGAGGGACAGCGGGTGGTAATTCGAACCCCAAGTGGGGGAGAACTGGTTATTTATGGAGAGGGCACCAGGTTGGGTTCAAGGTTTTGTTCGGCGGCCAGGGCTCGACAGTATATTCAACACGGGTGTGCAATTTATTTGGCTTATGTGGTGGATACGCGGGTTGGGGATCATGTATCAATTGCTGATGTTCCGATTGTCAGGGAGTTCGCTGATGTATTCCCGAAGGAGTTACTCGGCGTGCCTCCTGAGAGGTAGGTCGAATTTTGGATCGACCTTGTGCTAGGTGTGGCCCTTATTGCCAAGGCGCCGTACCGATTGGAGCCGGCTAAAATTAGAGCTTGGAGAGGTTGTATGTTAGATTTGGATAATTGATGTTTAGATCCGAATGTTGAATGTCTTAATATTTTGTAATCCTAGCTTCTCACTAGCTTTGTCATCGGAATGAAATATTTCTTGTTGTTCAATAAATAAATAAAAACATATTTCTTACTTTAGATAGTAGATTATAAAATGGACCACCAAAAAGGAAGGACAACGAAACAAAACAATAATCAATAAGTATAGTTCGATTAACTATCAACTTAAATATGAATCGGAGATGTCAATTTTTATCTGTAAATGAATTTAGACTATGTTATATCTCCAATATTTTAAGGGGATAAGATAAATTTTAGCTAACAAGCAATGCCTTAAAATCCATACAAAATATATTTTTAAGTTACAACTTAAAGGGTAAATCACTTCATCCCACAAAAAAATTATATAATAATATAGATGGTTAAATTATATCATACCATTATATAATATTTTTACATAGAACACACAAACTATATTTTTAATTATGTAAGTTACAATACCTCCTAAATCACTTTATTCTAAAAACAATAAGAAAATTACTTTGTATAATAAAAAATGATAGATGACTTCATTGACCCGGTCAAAGAATTTTGTATAGATTTGTATTAAAAGTTAAAATATAATATTTATTCAATCTAATTTCTAAATATTATATTTGACTTTCTTATTTCTTTAAAATATTATATTTACCTCTTTCTCAGTTTCTCTCTCTCTGTGTCTCTCTCTCTCTCTCTATATATATATATATATATATATATATATATATATATATATATATATATATAAACCTTTTTTATATTTTAAAATTATTAAAACTGAAAAAAAAAAAGTTAAATAGACCATATGACCCTTATCTTCTAGATTCAGAAGTTCATGAACCAAAATAACTTATCTCTGCCATCCGAAAGTCAATGAAGTTGCAAAGTGTTCATTCCTTTAGAATACAAACATATGAAATACAAATAAAACTTTAAATTGCAATACACAAGATATATTATGACACTCTCAATTACCTATCCATTGCTATGGCAATATAAAACACATACTACGATTGGTATTTTCTTTTCAACTTTCGAAGAAAAACAAAATAAAAAAGCAACATAAAAGTCAATGTTTAACCTTTTTAATTATTTTGAAAAAACACAAAATCAAAATAAAAAACATCGTAAGTTCGTAACAATGACATTACGGCAAGAGGAAAAAAAGGATAGGCTAGAAGTTTAACGGGTAACACCAGGTCTTAAATGGCGAAGACGAAGTTCCTCTAGTTTAAGATGTAGGGGTAATATAGTCCATTTAATTTCTTTTTCAATTTCAATGATTTTAAAATATGAAAAGTATAGATTCGGGCAAATCTAATATTTTAAAAAATTAAACAAGACAAATATGAATTTAAGATATTAAATATGATATTTTGAGTAGACGCATCCCATACCAAAAAATTACTCATTACCAAACCCGTCCAACCATCGACCTAAATTTTGTATTTAAATAAGTGATTGCAAGTTGCAACTAAACTCTTGACCTTTATTATGATCAGTCTCTCTTTCACTCGGTATCATCGCTAAAATAAATCATATGCTCTTGGCTGTTTGCCTCGAGATTTTCATTTCCCCAAGGTTCTAAAAGTCGCCTCTTTCTGTACTAATTATCTTATAATCAATCACAAACCTCTCCTTTTCATAATTTCATTCCGATCAAAAACGGGTACCACACTTCTTAATCATCCTCTAACACCATTGCTTTCATCTCCTTCACTAAACCTATACCTCTTAAATGATTTCACATCACAACGTCAGACTAACAAACGTATGAGGTATAACCCTTAGCATGGGTATATTCGTCCTCACAACTACTACTAGCAACCATGGATAACCACTACAAACCTAAAATCCAAAAGTTCGGCCGTTGGTTCTCTAAAAAACACAAGTCCAGACGTAGTCGCAAACAGCTTTCAGGTTATAAATCATCATCTTCCTTACGTTACACCGTTTTCATGGTTTATAAAGTGCTCCATGGTGTTAATTGTTAAAGTTACCAGAATAGCTTTTTGCAGATGAGTCTGGAGATGAATACGAGGAGGAGGATAATTCGCTTATCATGTCATCGGACACCGATCCATGCAGCTTAACCAATCAATTACGGTAACTCTGGTTAAGTTAGCCTTTAACTATGGTATCATTGTATTCATTTTGGTTGATGTTTACAACGTATTTTTTTATTTAATATACTAATCATGTTTTAGGATATTTGTGGCCACGTGGAATGTTGCGGGAAGATCTCCAGCTGGTAGTTTGGCTGTTGATTTAGATGAATGGCTGAATGTTAAAGAATCTGCCGACATTTACGTTCTAGGGTAATCAATACGACTCATTAATATCAATCAATATATATAATATAGTAGACAATTTTAAGACTAAAATTATATTTTTTTTTGGTCTCTGAATACTAACAGTTTTGATTTTTGCATATTTGTTTCCAATAACTGACTTCATCTTATTTTAGGTTTTTATATCTTTTTGGTTTATATTCCACATAAAATGGCTACTTTGGTGATTTGGTTCATCAATATAACTTATTTTTGCACGCACAACCAAAATTGTACAATTCGGATATAGTCAGGGACCAAAAATGTAACTACTTACTTTGATGATCACGTTACAGATTTCAAGAAATCGTACCCTTAAAAGCTAAAAATGTGATCGGGGGAGAAGATCTAACCGAAGCAAGAAGCTGGAATTTGCTAATTGGACAAATACTTAATGACAAATGTGCATGCCGATGGATTACGCCTATGATAAATCCAGTGACAAGTGTAGTAGAAGAAGGTGATCAAGGAGAAGTTAATAACTGTGGTAGGTACAAACTAATGGCAAGCAAGAAGATGGTTGGTGTATTCATAAGTGTATGGATAAATACATCATTATTCAATAGGTACAGCATATCGAGTGTGAAGGTGTGTGCTGTAGCCTGTGGGATCATGGGTTATTTAGGCAACAAAGGGTCGGTGTCTGTTAGTATGTTGATTGAGGGAACGAGTTTCTGTTTCATTGTTGCTCATTTGGCTTCTGGTGAGAAGAAAGGAGATGAAGGAAGAAGGAATCACCAAGTTTCTGATATTTTCAAGCGAACGTATTTCACTCGAGATGATCATTTCACTCCGAGGCCTCTCACCATCTTAGGACACGAGTAAGTCTGTCTTTCTTTCTTTTCGACTCACTGAACTTATTAAGCACTTAATCCAGACAGATATATCATATATAGTGGCGTTTCCTTTGGATTTAATAAATTAAGGAATTAGTTAAGTGGAGTTGATTTTTAAGATTGGTGTGTATTGTTTTGTTGAACAGCCAGATATTTTGGTTTGGGGATCTCAACTATAGGTTATTTTTAGAAAATGATTTAGCTAGAGAGCTAATAAAAAAACAAGATTGGATAGCACTTCAAGAGTTTGATCAACTAAGGCAAGAACTGGGAGATGGTGGAGTATTTCAAGGGTGGAGAGAAGGGAACATTAAATTTGCACCTACTTATAAGTATTCAGCATTTAATAGCAATTGGTACTCGGGTACATTTCCAAGCTTAGTAGGAGAAAAACAAAGGACCCCAGCATGGTATACACCTCTACCTTTTTCTTCGTTAATACTAAAATTCAGACACTCAAATTACGTCTTCAAAATACTGAAATTAAGTCCTTAATAAACGCAAACACATAAAAGACTGAATTTCAGCATCGGATACGTTTGGTTGCTCACTAATGTTTCATAAAAATATAAATCTGGACTTTAGGATTATCATCTTGACTACAATTCTTATGGAATTTTGTTATTCATATTGCAGGTGTGACAGGATCTTATGGTATGGTAAAGGGGTAAAACAACATTCATACTTTCGTAGTGAGAGCAAGTTCTCGGATCATAAGCCTGTGTCTGCTTTATTCTCAACACAGATTGAAGTCGTGAGGTCTAATGATATAGGTTCCTCTGTAAGTAATCTATCAGGCTATATAGAGTTTTAATTGGGTGATTACTTGATGTGTGATTAATTAATTATTATAATTCATGATCACATGAACAGAAGAGAATCAATGGAGAGGCTTCATCTACCTTGCTTTCACTGATTACCAGAGATAATGATGCATCACCATCAAACAGAAAATGCCATAGAAGAAAGGGAAGGTTGTGATGAAGAGTTCTTTGGATTAGATATACCATGGTGATAAAATAATAGTCTTTGGTGTTCAATTTCTTTTATTCTTTTATCTTTCTATGTTTACTGCTGTTATTTCCTTAGTTTCTTCATCCTTTCAACAGTCGGCTATCAAAGACTTAAGTTGGAAGGTACCACTGACTATAAAGAATATCATGAACAAAAAACAACAGTTTTATATATGATGTATTCTGTCAATTTGGCAAATATATATCGTCATTTTCACAATTGTTCTATGAAAAGTCAGGCAAGTAAGTTAGATTCTGATGTTCAATTTGAGTAGGATTGCTTTCATGCTTTGGTTCCAACAAAGAAACTCAAAACGTCGTTAAATCAAACATTTTTTTTTGGCAAATAAGAGAACTGAATCGATCTAACATCATGCGCTCTTCAACAATAATTGATCAAGAAAGAAAACAAACGTTAGGGTTAGAAGTTGCTTCAGGGAATTCCTGGCTGCCATTGAGAGTTCCTCGCAGCTGTTCGTTTCCCGCTAATCTTCATCGGAGAGGGATTCTGGTATGATAGTGCATGGGATTACTTGTACAGTACAACAAACTGATGCATAATGGGTTCTCATGATTTCATCCATTCTATTGGGCTGCGTCCACAAAATAATGACCATAGTTGCATTATGGGTTTGGGCTTTTGCATGTTTAAATGATTCTAAATAGAATACCCTTGGTACATAAATTATTTTCATCTAATCACTTCACAATTTGATGGCATCCGAAATTGTTAAGTCATTAACTGGAAAGACATGCCCCAAAGAAATGAGAGCAAGGGTTTCTAATAATTAACTTTTAAATCATTTAATCATTTTTTACGGTTGTACATTTTTTTTGTTGAGGTGTACAAGAAACGGTGTGGTGACGAATAATACCTTCTGATTTGCAATAAGATTCAGATTCTTTGGAGTATAGTTTCATATAGTTATCAGTTAGACGTTTTTTCAACTTTCTTCCCAATGTAATTCACGATCATTGTCTTCTTATGTTTAGAAGCATAGAACACAGCATATTTATGTTTGAGAAAATACGGTCATAACTTCCATGAGAAGTCATTAATAATTGAACATATAATTAGCAAGGGATATGTATTTGGAAGAATCGTATACTTCTCAATGGATTAATGGATGATTGACATTAAAATGCTTTAATAGGTTTTCCTTGATATATATTTTAATTAACAAGTATATTTATCAATATCATTTTTTCGAACGAAACAATAGAGATAGATTTAAAGTAACTGGAAAGATTTATCCAATAACTAAACTTAGGTCACACAACTATTGGTGGCCTAGGTGGTTCCCAAGGCATCATGATTTTGGGGTATTTTTTTAGCCCAATTACAATGGGTATCTATTTATGTGTGGCTCATCTTTTGCAACTTTTGGATAAGGTTAAGGCATAAAAGTGGAGTTGAGCCGATAACCTAATGCGATAAACAAAAAGTTAAAGATGTGGATAATCACACATAGGATAGAAGACGAGGAGACCATCAACCATTCTGTTTGTTGACTACATTCTATGATATCTATGTCAAATAATGTGTTTTTCTACATGCAACTTCGCCCTCTCCTATTTATCTCACTAAACTAAGTTCTCATGATTCACCATTCACGAACAAAATTGTTTATGGGTTTTAATAACAGAATTGTAAACGTGTGTATTTGATAAAGTCAAATGGTCAAATAGTCAGTATAGTCTTAGCTCTAGTATAGCCGTAAATATCTCCTTTCTAGTTTTCTACTTGTATATATAAACATTGCACAGTGAATGATAAACACACAGTTCAGTTTCAAAAGTTTATATGGTACTAGAGCTCTGATTACTAGTCCCGCAGATCCTTCTTCTTTTGTCTTTTTTGATGGCTTCTGGAAGCCCTAAATTTCTCAATTTAGCCACTACCACCGCCACTAACCTAAATTTCCAGATTCCTGCAATCACGGTCAAACTTGATCGAACCAACTATCCACTCTGGCGCACCACCATTGTTTCGGCACTTGAAGCTTTTGAGTTGGAGAAATTCGTCTTCAATCCTCAGCCACCACCAGAAATCCTCACTGTACCTACGACTGAAGCAATTCTAGTCACCGCTACCTCACCTGCTATTGTTGCCATTCCTGCCAAAACTACACCAAATCCTGAATACGCCACATGGAAAAGGCATGATCGGTTTGTTCTTTTGTGGCTAAAATCCACCTTGTCAGAAATAGCTCTTGCTCTCGTTGTTCGCGCAACATCATCTTTCACAGCGTGGAAAATCATTGGGAAAACTTTTCAAGTCCAAACTAGGGCATCTAGTATGCAACTCAGGTCTCAACTCCAGTCCCTTAATAAAGGGTCCATGTCGATAATCGAATATATTGAGCGATAACGTTCGATTGTTGATTCCTTTATCCAGTTACCGATGAGGACCTAATTAACTACATTCTTGGTGGACTTGACTCTTCTTACGGTCCATTCACTACAACTTTTATGATAAAGTCGGAAGCTCTCACTGTTGATGACCTTACAGGTTTATTACTCCAGGAAGAAGCAAGACTCGAACAAGAGCATCTTTGTGTTGCCTCTGTACCACAATCCTCTACTGTTGTTGCTCTCACAGTAAAACGCTCAACTTCTCACAACACATCACAAGGCTCAAACTCCTCTCATTCATCCCGTAACTCAGACTCACGACGTCGTCGTCCAGTCTGTCAACTGGGTAACAAAACAGGGAACAAAGCTATTGACTGCTGGCAAAGGACAAACCCTACTGACTTTCCCTCAAGGAGGCCTAATCCACGAAACAATCAAAGACAAGTTCATGTAGCTCAATACATCCCATCTACTACAGCCATGGACCCAACGTGGTACTTTGACACCGGAGCCACAGATCATGTCACTCCTGATGTCTCCAAACTTAATATTGCAGACAATTACCGAGGAGAATATAAACTTCAAGTAGGAAATGGTAACCATTTGTTTATTTCTCATGTTGGCTCAACTTCTTTGCCTAATTTAAAATTGCCAAATGTGCTTGTTGTTCCTGAACTCACTAAAAATCTACTTAGTGTGTCTAAATTAACAGATGATAATGATGTGTATATGGAATTTTGGCATAATCATTGTACTGTTAAGACATTGCAGGGAAAAACAATCATCAAGGGGGATAAAAGTCAAGGCTTGTATCGGCTGCCTCACCCCAACACTTCTCACACAACCTTCTCTGGTATCCACACATCCCTCCATGGATGGCATAGGCGACTTGCTCATCCACATGAACCTCTTCTTTGGCGTTTAGTATCTTCATTTAATCTTCTAGTATCATCAAATAAATTTCCAAGTGTTTGTGACTCGTGTCAACTTGGAAAAGGTCATAGATTTCATCTGCCCACATCTCATGTTAATTCTACAAAACCTTTTGGATTAATATATTCTGATGTTTAGGGCCCTTCCCCAGTTTTTTCTTTAAATGGTCATAGATATTTTGTTTTGTTCATGGATGATTGCACTAAGTTCATATGGGTTTATTTTTTGTCTCATAAATCACAAGTATTCTCTACATTTTTTGCAATTCAGAACCATGATTAAAACACAATTTTCTTGTGATCTCAAATCCCTACAAACTGATTGGGGTAGTGAATACAGAAATGTTTCGACTTTTCTTAACAACCATGGCATTCTTCATAGAATTTCTTGCCCTTATACACAAGAACAGAATGGTGCTATTGAACGCCGAAATAAGTCAATGTTGAAAAAGGGCTCACATTATCAGCCCAATCATCCATGCCTAAACTTTTCTGGGAACATGCTTTCAAAACAACCACCTATTTACATAATCGTACCATTACACCTCTTTTAAATTATGAATCTTCATACCAAAAATTATACCAAAAAGTCCAAGATTATAATTTTCTTAAAACTTTTGGATGCCTCTAATTTCCATATTTACGACCATACAACTCTCATAAAATTGATTACCGCTCAAAACCTTGCATTTTTCTGGGGTATAGTGCTTCACACAAAGGTTACATATGTTACTATCAGTCAACTTCTCATATATACATTTCACGTCATGTGGTCTTTAATGAGGACATTTTTCCATACAACACCACTTCTTCTATTGAAAATTCTCAAAATTCAGAACCTCTTGCCACTTCACCTACTATTATTGCCACCTTAAATTCAACACCACCTACTCCCACTATACCCTCAACCCCGTCCACATGTCCACCAAACACACCCTCTGCACAAAGTAACTCATCACCTACACCTGTTCATTACTCCAGCCACATTACACCTTCTCCACCGATTAATACCTCTCAATCTCCTAACTACCAACACTTCATTGTGTCTTCTCGTGCTAGACAACAACCCACCATACCCTCCTATTATCGACCGGCTGATAATAGTCATCACATTATGATCACTCGTGCACGTACGGATTCCCTTAAACCAAAAACCTTCCTTACTTCCATTTCCCCTCATCTCGAACACGAACCAAAAACATATTCCTAAGCAATAAAGCACACATGTTGACAAGATGCAATGAAGGTTGAGTATGATGCCCTCATGAAAAATAACATTTGGTCTCTAGTACCATGTCCTACTAACGTTAATATTGTTGGTTGTAAGTGGATTTATAGGATTAAAACGCGTTCCGATGGCACTATTGACCAACATAAGGCACGCTTGGTCGCTAAAGGATTCAGTCAAGAGGCCGGAGTAGACTATTTTGACACGTTTAATCCTGTTATTAAACCAACAACAATACATCTAGTTCTCTCCATTGCTCTCTCACAAGGTTGGCGTATTCGACAACTTGACATAAATAATGCGTTTTTAAATGGTGACTTATCGGAGACGGTCTACATGACACAACCTAAAGGCTTTGAAGACAAATCAAAACCTCAGCATGTATGTCAGTTAAAAAAAGGCATTATATGGTCTTAAGCAAGCTCCACGAGCTTGGTTTACCAAACTCAAGCATTATTTGATTACTCATGGCTTTCGAGCATATCAATCAGGTACATCCCTTTTTGTTCACATTTCTTCATCATCTACTATTTACGTTCTTGTCTATGTTATTGATTTGATAGTTACAGGAACAAATGACATCCACTTGCATCAGTTCATCACCAACCTAAACCACATGTTTTCACTAAAAGATTTTGGTGATTTGCATTATTTCCTTGACCTTCAAATCACTCGACACAAGTCAGGAATTACAATATCTCAAAAGGCCTACATAAGGGATGTTCTACATAGAAGAAATATGTCTGAAACATCTCCTATGTCTACTCCAGCAAATCCATACACTCGTCTACAAAAGAATGGAGATCCTTTTGTCGACCCTACTCTATATCTCCAAGTTGTGGGCTCTCTTCAGTATGCTACCATTACACGCCCAGACATTGCTTATTCTGTTGACCGTGTGTTCCAGTTTATGCATTCTCCAACAAATCATCATTGGCAGGCTGTTAAACGAATCTTGCGTTATCTAAATGGCACTCTCGATCATTGTCTCCATTTCAAACCAACCAATTCAAAAGGTCTACATGCCTTCTCTGACTCTGGTTAGAATTCAGATCTAGATGACAGCCGTTCTCATTATGGATTTTCCATTTTTCATGGTCCAAATCTCATTAGTTGGAAATCAAGGAAACAAAAAGTTGTTGCTCGATCTAGCACTGAAGCTGAATATAGATCTCTTGCTTTCACCACAACTGAGTTGTTATGGTTAAAGCATTTGATATCTGACCTTCAAGCTCAAATCAACATCCCACCATTATTGTTGTGTGATAATGTCGGAGCTATTTTCCTAACTAAAAATCCTATTATTAGTACCCGTTCCAATCACATTGCCTTGGACTTCCATTTTATTTGAGAACAGGTGGAGGCTGGTGAATTAAAAATCTATCATGTCTCCTCTGTGGATCAATTTGCAGACATATTCACCAAACCGTTGGGAAAAGACTGAGTTATGTATCTTCGTTCCAAGTTACAAGTTCGTCCCGCTCTTGAACTTGTCGGGGGGGGGGGGGGTAATAACAGAATTGTAAACGTTTGTATTTGATAAAGTCAAATGGTCAAATAGTCAGTATATTCTTAGCTCTAGTATAGCTGTAAATATCTCCTTTCTAGTTTTCTACTTATATATATAAACATTGCACAGTGAATGATAAACACACAGTTCAGTTTCAAAAGCTTATAGGTTTCTCTATTGAGAGGTGTTATTGTCATGAATCAAAACTCGAATGTCATAGAGGAAGAATTTCCTTTATCTTCGAACTAACTATCCTTAAGGAAGGGCATGTTGCTCTAAATCAACTGAACTCTAAGGTTATAGGAGTAGGATGTATTAAGCCTCGCCACCAGACATGTCAAACATGAGCTACATCGCTACTGGCTTACGCCAAGAAGAAGTCGCCAAGCGGGTAGCGAGAGGAAAGTGGAGAGAGAAAGAAGAAAGGTGGGTTCTGATTGGTGCTTGATATTTTTTTCCTTTCCAAGATAAAACCTATTAAATTAACACATCACCACTCCCCAACTTTTACAAGGTAACATGCTAAGCTTACATGACATTAAAAATCTAGAAAAAAGGCTTATATTGCAATGTGCTAAGGATGCTACAATTCCCTCCAACCTAATAGAAATAACTAAATGATTTTTCGATTCAGACAAAATATGTCCTCGCTCTCTAAGAAGTAAATTATGTCTTATGATTTAACATATAACTAGTAAAAAAGCTCGTGCTACGCCACGAGTTTGAATGAAGTGTACATATGACCATGTACTTCTCTTTCAAAGAATTAAATATTTGGTTAGTGAAAACATTAACTAAAATACGTTCTTTTAGCTATTCATTCCAAAAAAGGAATAAGTATACATATAAATAAAATGGAATTTGAATTAAAGGTCAAATTGCCAGAAATAGCAATGTATTTTCCCTTAGTTGTATATAGAAAAGTCATTCAAATACAAAGTATAATACTTGGACAACTCTTTATAATGTTTTCCTTGCATTTTGTAGCAGATTCCACCTTCTTAGCTGCCATAATCATGTGTACGCCCCTCAAAGATAGGACACGAGCAGTCTCTAGATCAATACCACTTGTTGGTCCTGTCATAAAAGAGGAAAGATATTAAGATACGGAATATATGGTGTTTATCTATATATTTTAGCTAAAACCCATGAAAACTTAGGTGAAATTTTTATGCTTCGAGTCTCAAACATATTAGGTCATCCAGGGCCGGCTCAACGAGTTTGGGGGCTATAAGCGAACCAAAAATTTGGGGCCCTTTGACATTTATAATACTTAATGTTAAAAAACCCTCCTCCTTTATCCGGGCTTGGGACCGACAATAATAAACTAAAAAGTTTACAAATGGTGGAGTTAAATTTTTTTTTTGTATATGTTTTTTGTGAATATATTTTATGACATAAAGTTGACTTTTCTAGCCTTTTTAGATGCAAATTCTTTAATGAAAACTTCATAATCAATTTCTTTTACTAACTGTTTTTCAATTGACAAAATAGCTAATCCATTTAATCTTTCTTGTGACATTGTAGATCTTAAATAATTTTTAATAGTTTTAATTTAGAAAAACTTCTTTCTGCAGAGGCAACGGTTACAAGAATAGTTAACATAATCCTATAGGCAACATATGCATTTGGAAAAAAAACTAAACTTTTTAATATAATTAAGTATAGTAATAATTGTATCACGTTCTAAATGTAAAATGTGTCTTAAAAGTTTTAGTTCATGAAATAAATCTAAACCATCAATATCTAAGCTATCATCATGCTTTAAAGATTTTTCAAGGTTTAAACAATGTTTTTTTAAAGTATTTTCATCAAATGATTTTAATTTTTTCATACTAAATAGAAAACCAAAAATATTTTTGAACTCGTTAAATTGCTCAAATCTACTTTTAAGTGAAGTAATGGCTTTATCTACTACATATAAAAATTCATAGTTTGAAAGTTCATATGTAGCTAAACATTTAGCCTCACTTTTAATTTTGTGATCTCCACAATTTTTGGATAATTGTAAAAGTGCTTTTCTTAATTGTGGTGCTTGAAATCTAATTGCTTTTACACTTTCTACCCTACTTTCCCAACGAGTTTGCGATAATGATTTAAGTGTTAGGTTTGATATATTATCTTGTA